TCGCTAGTCATCCCTAGTCATTTTTAGTCATCCCATTCATCCCTAGTCATCCCAGTCATCCTAGGTGTAGCTAGTCATCCCTAGAGATCAATAGTCATCCTAGTCATCGCTGGTCATCTCTAGTCATCCCATCCATCCCTACTCATCCCTAGTCATCCCAGTCATCCCTACTCATTCCCAGTCATTCGTAGTTAACCCTAGTCATCTCAGTCATCGTTAAGCATCCCTAGTCATTCCAATCATCCTTAGTTATCTCTTAGTCATCCTTAATCTTCCCAGTCGTTCTAGGCATCGCTAGTCTTCCCTAGTCATCCCTAGTCATCCCAGTCATCCCTAATTATCCTAGGCATCGCTAGTCATCTGCGTCATCCGTATTCTTTCCTAGTCTTTCCAGTCATCCCTAGTTATCCCTAGTCATCCCTTGTCATTCCAGTCATCCCTTGTCATCCCTTGTCATCCTAATCCTCGCTAGTCATCCCTAGTAATCGCAATCATCCCTAGTTATTGCTATTCATTCCTAGTCATCCCTAGTCATCCTAGTCATCGCTAGTCATCGCTAGTTATCCCTAGTCATCTCAGTCATCCTTAGTTATTCCTAGTCGTCTCAGCCATCCTTGTCATCCCTACTCATCCCTTCTCATCCCTAGTCATCCCTAGTAATCCCAGTCATCCCTAGTCGTCCCTAGTTATCCCAGTCATCCCCAGTCATTCCTAGTCATCCCTAGGCATCTCAGTTATCGTTACGAATCCCTAGTCATTCCAGTAATATTTAGTTATCGCTAGTCATCCCAGTCATCTTAGGCATCGCTAGTCATCCCTAGTCATTCGAGTCATCCCTAGTCATTTCTAGTCATCCCTAGTCATCGCTAGTCATCTCTAGTCATCCCAGTCATCCCTAGTCATCCTACTCATCGCTAATCATCCCTAGTCATCCTTAGTTGTCTCATTCATCCTAGTCATCCATAGTCATCTCAGTCATCGTTAAGCATCGTTAAGTCATCTTTAGTTACCCCTAGTCATTCTAGTCATCCTAGCTATCGCTAGTCATCCCTAGTCATCTTTAGTCATCCCATTCATCCCTAGTCATCCCAGTCATCCTAGGTATAGCTAGTCATCCCTAGTCATCCCTAGAGATCAATAGTCATCCTAGTCATCACTGGTCATCTCTAGTCATCCCATTCATCCCTACTCATCCCTAGTCATTCCAGTCATCCCTAGTCATCCCTAGTCATCCCTAGTCATCCCAGTCGTTCCTAGTTAACCCTAGTCGTCTCAGTCATCGTTAAGCATCCCTAGTCATTCCAATCATCCTTAGTTATCCTTAGTCATCCTTAATCTTCCCAGTCTTTCTAGGCATCGCTAGCCTTCCCTAGTCATCCCTAGTCATCCCAGTCATCCCTAATTATCCTAGGCATCGCTAGTCATCTGCGTCATCCGTATTCTTTCCTAGTCTTTCCAGTCATCCCTAGTTATCCCTAGTCATCCCTTGTCATTCCAGTCATGCCTTGTCATCCCTTGTCATCCCTAGTCATCCTAATCCTCGCTAGTCATCCCTAGTAATCGCAATCATCCCTAGTTATTGCTAGTCATTCCTAGTCATTCCTTGTCATCCCTAGTCATGCCAGTCATCCCAGTCATCCCTAGTCATCCCTAGTCATCCCCATTCCTCCCTTGCCATCCCTGCTCATCCCAGTCATTCCTACTCATCCCTAGTCATCCTAGTCATCCCTAGTCATCCCTAGTTATTCCCAGTCATCCTAGTCATTGGTAGTCATCCCTAGTCATCCCTATTCATCCCTACTTGTCCCTAGTCATCCCAGTCATCTTTACTCATCCTTAGTCATCCTAGTCATCTCTAGTTATTCCTAGTAATTCCTAGTCATCCCTAGTCATTCCAGTCATTCCTAATTATCCCTTTTCATTCTTACTCATCCCTAGTCATGCCAGTCATCGCTAGTAATCCCTAGTCATCCATAGTCATCCTAGTAATCGTTAGTCATCCCTAGTCATCCCAGTCATCCTTAGTCATCGAGTCATTTTTGGTCATTCCTAGTCATCCCTAGTCATCTCATTCATCGTTAAGCATCCGTAGCTTTTCCAGTCATCTTTAGTTATCCCTAGTCATTTTTAGACATCCCAGTCATCCTAGGCATCGCTAGTTCTCCCTAGTCATCCCTAGTCATCCCAGTCATTCCTAGTCATCCCTAGTCATCCTAGTCATTGCTAGTCATCTGTAGTCATCCCAGTCATCCTTAGTCATTCCTAGTCATCCCTAGTCTTCCCTAGTCATCCCAGTCATCTCTAGCCATCCCTAGTCATCCCTAGTCATCCCTAGTGAGTACTAGTCATCCCTAAACATCCCTAGTCACCCTTAGTCATCCCTAGTCATCCCAGTGATCCTAGTCATCTCTAGTCATCCCTAGTCATCCCAGTCACCCTAGTCATCACTAGTCATTCCTAGTCATCCCAGTGATCCTAGTCATCCCTAGTCATCCCTAGTCATCTCTAGTCATCGCTACTCATTCCTACTCATCCCTAGTCATCCTTGTCTTAGTTATCCCTAGTCATCCCAGTCATCCCTAGTCATCCCTAGTCATCCCAGTCACCCTAGTCATCCCTAGTCATCCCATTGATTTTAGTCATTTCTAGTCATCCCTAGTCATCCCAGTCATCCCTTGTCATCCCAGTCACCCCTAGTCATCCCTAGTCATCTCTAGTCATCGCTACTCATCCCTAGTCATCCTTGTCATAGTCGTCCCTAGTCATCCCAGTCATCCTTAGTCATCCCTAGTGATCCCAGTCACCCTAGTCATCCCGAGTCATCCCAGCCATCCCTAGTCATCCTAGTCATCGTTAGTCATCCCTAGTCATGCCAGTTATTCCTAGTCATCCCTAGTCATCCCAGTCATTCCTAGTCATTTCTAGTCATCCTAGTCATTGCTAGTCATCTCTAGTCATCCCAGTCATCCCTAGTCATCCCTAGTCTTCCTTAGTCATCCCAGTCATCCCTCATCCCTAGTGATTACTAGTCATCCCCAAACATCCCTAGTCACCCTTATTCATCCTTAGTCATCCCAGTGATCCTAGTCATCCCTAGTCATCCCAGTCACCCTAGTCATCCCTAGTCATCACTAGTCATTCCTAGTCATCCCAGTGATCCTAGTCATCCCTAGTCATCCGAGTCAGCCAGTCATCTCTAGTCATCCCTAGTCGTCTCTAGTCATCGCTACTCATTCCAACTCATCCCTAGTCATCCGTGTCATAGTTATCCCTAGTCATCCTAGTCATCCCTAGGCATCCCTAGTCATCCCAGTCACCCTAGTCATCCGTAGTCATCCCTAGTCATCCCATTGATCCTAGTCATCCCTAGTGATCCCTAGTCATCCCTAGTCATCCCTAGTCATCGCTAGTCATCCTAGTCATCCCTAGTCATCTCTAGTCATCGCTACTCATCCCTTGTCATCCCTAGTCATCCTTGTCATAGTCTTCCCTAGTCATCGCTAGTCATCCCTAGTGATTCCAGTCACCCTAGTCATCCGTAGTCATCCCTAGTCATCCCAGCCATCCCTTGTCATCCTAGTCATCGCTACTCATCCCTTGTCATCCCTAGTCATCCTTGTCATAGTCTTCCCTAGTCATCCCAGTCATCGCTAGTCATCCCTAGTGATTCCAGTCACCCTAGTCATCCGTAGTCATCCCTAGTCATCCCAGCCATCCCTTGTCATCCTAGTCATCGTTAGTCATCTCTAGTCATCCCTAGTCATGCCAGTTATTCCTAGTCGTCCTTAGTCATCCCAGTCATCCACCCTTGTCACCCAAGTCATCCTTATCACCTGGCCTTGGGTGACTAGGATGACTGGGGTTAGTAGTGTCACTTGGGTGACTAAGATGACTTGCTTGAGTAGGGTGACTTGGGTGCCTTGGGTGAGTAGGTAGACTAGGGTGATTTGGGTGACTCTGATGACTAGGATGACTTGGGTGACTAAGGTGTCTAGGATGACTTGCGTGAGTTGGGTGACTATGGTGACTTGGTTGACGAAGATGACTTGAGCGAGTAGGGTGTCTTGGGTGCCCTGGGTGACTTGCATGACTAGGATGACTTGCGATAGTAGGATGACTTGGGATAGTAGGATGACTTGGGATAGTAGGGTGACTAGGATGACTTGTGTGACTAGGGTGACTTGGGTACCTTGGGTGACAAGGGTGACTAGGATGACTTGGGTGACTAGGGTGCCTTGGGTGAGTATGGTGACTTGGGTGATTAGGATGACTTGTGTGACTAGGGTGTCTTGGGTGACTAGGATGACTTGGGTGACTAGGGGGACTTGGGTGAGTAGAGTGACTTGGGTGAGGGGAGTGCCTTGATTGACTAGCGTGACTGGAGTGACTATGGTGACAAGGGTAGTTTGGGTAAGGAGGGTGACTTGGGGGACTTGGGTGACTAGGGTGTCTTGGGTGACAAGAGTGAGGAGTGTGCCTTGGGTGAGGAGGGTGACTAGGATGACTTGGGTGATTAGGGTGACCTGGGTGCCTTGGGTGACCATTGTGTCTTGGGTGAGGAGGGTGACTTGAGTGACTACGGTGACTTGGTTGATAAGGGTAACTTGGGTAAGGAGGGCGTCTTGGGTGACAAGGGTGAGGAGGATGCCTTGGGTGAGGTGGGTGACTTGTGTGACTAGAGTGACGCCTTTAGCGACTGGAGTGGCGTTTTACGCCTCAAAATAGAAGTGCCCTCGTTTAAGTTTCATCCCTTGTCTTTGTTTTTTTCTTTTTTGCTTTACCGAGGAGAGTCAATAGTTAACAATACTGGAAACTTAAAACGTAACTGACGCATTTGATTCCGGCAATGTTAATTGTCTTCGATGAGATTCAAATTCCTTCCCAAACGACTCATAAAGGGCAGCCATTGCAGTCTGCTAGGCCAACTCGAGAGTGCTACCAAAGTAGCCTACATTTTTAAAAAACAAAATTTCGCACTATATATATATACACGGCAAACGATGGATGTGCAGCGAGCAACTTTGGAATCGATGGGTGTGCGAAGCAAGAAAGCAGTCGCCATACACATCTTGCAGGAGAACGTCTACGAGAGCAATTTGGTCCCCGACATCGCAAATGTCGACTATCTCGCGGGACACCAAGGGCGAATGAATCTCCAACCCTTGGCCGGGCTGCAAGTCTTTGTCGACGATGTCTATGTCTATGGCCCCCTGCAAGAGAAAGACCTTGTTCGGGTATTTGGCCGCAGAACATCTTGTACTACAGGCGAAAAGGGTGCAGCCAAAAGAGTGGTAGCACAGATCTCTATCTTTGTTCGGGAAGTCTGGGGCGAGGAAGACGGGTACAAGAACGTTTCGATAGCCCACACAGTCGATGCAAACTCCAGTGGTACTATCGTGTCGACAGTGGGGCAAATCGAATGCGAAACAGGCTACCGAGCCAGACGAATCTGGAAGAGTCTGCATCCTGGAGAGGAACCCGCTGCCTATTTTGTTGCCAAGGTGGATGTATCGAATGTACCCATGGAAAGGCTGCAGGAAGGTCTTCCACACATGCGGCGCCTGCTAGAGGCGATCGGCTGGGGCCAATACCAAATAGACTACACGCAAGACTTCTCGGGAACCTTGGACAGACCAGCCTTGGTGCAGCATTTGGAGAACGAGCACAATTTCTTCCAACAAGGCGAAATGGCACCCCCAGACAATGCTGGTTGTATTTTGGACAATACATCCAGTGTGGGAAACCATGTCTGCACCCTTGTCCAAACGCGAAATGGACGCACGACTTCCACCAAACTCTACAACAAGTTTGTGTCGCAGATAGAGGCAGGAGATGTTCGAGGGACCTTTGGGGGGCACATGGTGGGTACTGTAGACAGCACAAACCACCATCTCCAACGAACGCTGTTCCATCCGGCTGTGCTTGCGAGAGGTTGTACACGAATCGAGGTTTCGCTCTACGGCTGTGGCGCAGAGGATCTTTCCACAACTGTAGCGGAAGAACTGGTTGCGGAGGTTTTGGAGTTGGTCTCCCCAACGTGCCAACACGACAACGAATGCCAACCCCAACGCGACAACGCTGCATACCAAGGACTGTTTGTTGTACAACCAACGGCAAAGCAATGGGAAAACTACGCAAGCCATCTGGACCGCAACTTCTTGTTGGGAGACCGTCCACAAGGGGCGATATATCTAGCATGGAGTGGGCACAGCAAAACCGGCAGGGTGCAGGGGATGCTTGTGCGGCCGACACCGGCGATGGTCGCAAACGATGCGAATTGGGAGAGAGCAGTACAATGGGCAATGGCCGACTTCGGATTCCAAAACTGTCCCATATTTCGCACCGAGATCTTGGGAGAGGAAAACGACGAGGTTGTCTTCTCCCCGCTGCGCTGCTACACAAAAGTCGGACCAACCATCCTAGCCGCAAGCAACAAGCCCACCGAGCTGCACCTAGACGCACCCAATCCACAAGATTTTCTCCCACCAACACCAACTGTAGAGTGGGTCTGGAGAACAAGAAAACCAAAAAGGATCGGGATGGAGCCGCCCTCTCGCGAGCTGGTGGAGGTGCCGGAAATAGCTGCTGGCAGGCACCTTTCCACCCTTTCTACAAGAAACCGCTACATTCGTTTGGAAGAGCTAGTGGACGCCAGAGATCGATTGGACTGGGCGGAGAGAATGGAGAGGATCGTCGAGAGGGCTAGAGAGAACACCGAAAACAGGTACAGAGAGCTCGAGCGGCTGGAGGAGGCAACCAAGGAAATACTCGCGCGCCAGAAAGAGCGGAACAACAAAAGGAATGCCGTATTCGAGGGACTTTTGGGAAAAACGTACAAGATTTCCGAACACGCTGGCAAGACTTTCAATCTCTTGGGATATCGGACAACAGCAACTGGCAAAAAGAGAGTGGTGCTGGAGGAGGTCGAACACAGTGGGTACGCCGTATGCGTGTGGCCCACAAAAGGGCTAGAAAGAATCTTGGACAACCAATCGGAGTGTTTCGAGAAGGAGGAAGAGTACCGCGACACCACAATCCATTGGATTCCGCGCAAGCCCAGTGGGTTGCAGTTCCGCGTGCAGGATCCCAAGACATTCTGGAACAACGAAGGTACAAAGATCTCTTGGAACCCGCTAGACGTGCTATCCACACCAAACATGCAAGACCTGCAAAGGGAGCTTCTGGCCCAAAGAGAAGCGCTGGCGGGAGAGATGGGCTTGGAGGACAGAACAATACTTGGCCCCTGCCGCAGGCCACCACGTCCGAAAGACAGCAAAAAGGCGCTGGAGATGCCCCCAGGAGACTATGCTGTGGCAGGCTATGCAGAGACAACCTGTCGAAACGCCCCAAGGACAATCCTTTTCGCGATCCCCCTAGACGAGAATGGCCAGCCAACCACACCAGTGGATACACCCATCTGGGGTCCATTCCTGCAAGAAGAGTTAGCAAAAATCGCCCCCTTGGCCACCCTAGTAGGAAAGCAACTCTACGGCAGGCTGGGGCGCGAGAAAACCACCAAGTCCAAGCACAAATGCCGCATCGCCCAGCTCTTTGTGCCACAAGACCCAGATACACCGCAACAGCAAGATGCACCAGATGCCTTCACCCCACTAGAGGCAACAGTGGCCACTGCCCTACCACTGCCTCTCCTCTAGGGACGCGCGCCAACCACAACTAGCCCCCTACATGGCCTAGCGCAAGCACAAACACCAAATGGCCCTGTGGATGCATAGGGGACCCGCACAACCCAGCCAACCACAACTAGCCACTACATGGTCCTATCTGTGTCTGGCCCTCTCCAGGAAAGAATGTGTCCACCAGCCATTTTCCCGGCAAAGCACCATACCTCCACAAACACACACAGCAACCAGTGGGCTGGAGCTGTGTTATCCCCATTCCATAGCTGTTTCTGCCGGAACCCTGGCAAGTATTGCCGGTCGCAGCTCGTTGGTTTGCAATTGCAAATTCCACTCTTCCTTCGCCATCCTATGCAGGGTGTCCAAGTCGGAGCACCAGTTGTCTGCATGTTTTGCAAGCTCTTTGCGAAAGCTGTGGTATTCGTAGTACGCCCAGCCTCTCTGGAAACAAGTCTCCAGCATGTTGCAGGTATACATACACAAGGAATATATCTACAATTTGGGGCACCCCCGTTTGCCTTTGGTGTACCACCACACGCACCCCCCTACATGGATATATCTGGGTCTAGGTTCTCCAGGAAAGAATGTGTCCACCAGCTATTTTCCCGGCAAAGCACCAGATTCCCACAAACACACACAGCAACCAGAGGGCCGGGACTGTGGTATCCCCATTCCATAGCTGTTTCTGCCGGAACCCGGGCAAGTATTGCAGGCCGCAGCTCGTTGGTTTGCAATTGCAAATCCCACTCCTCCTTTGCCAGTCTACGCAGGGTGTCCAAGTCGGTGCACCAGTTGTCTGCATGTTTTTCCAACTCCTTTCGAAAGCTGCGGTAGTATTCGTAGCACGGCCTGCCTCTTTGCGGCATGTTCGCAGGTATACATACACGCTATTCCATATTTTGAATTCCACTCTTTGCCTTTGGAGCCTCCAGTGTTGTTGTAGCTGCCTCGTCCACTGGCACCGTCACTGGCGCATCCACCGGTGCCCTCCCTGGTTGGCGCAAACTGGCAGCACGAGCCCGAGCCTTCCAGTAGAGCATCCAAAGAACTAGCCCCAACCCACCAATCGCTAGCAAGGCAAAGGCGATGTTCTTCGCGGCATTGGCGGTTGCAAGAACGTTCTCAGCCGTTGTTCGGGCTTGGCGGCTGCTTTCTTCGAGCCCATCGAGCAAGCTTGTGCCCTCCTCGACGGCCTGCTCTACCGTGTCTCCCAGCTCTTCCACATCCTTGTAGTGGCCTTCTTGCAGCTGGAGAAGAAGGGCCTGCTGTTCTTCCAATCGGCCCATCCTTTCTTCCATGCGCCCAAGAGACTGCAGCACGGCCACCTCTGCGGTCTGGCCATTGGCAACCACCGGCACCACTGGGGTCTGGCCATTGGCTGCTGGTGTCTGGCTATTGGCTGCTGGTGCCTGGCCATTGGCGGCTGGTGTCTGACCATTGGCTGCGGGTGTTTGGCCATTGGCTGCTGCTGGGACCTGGCCATTGGCTGCGGGTGTTTGGCCATTGGCTGCTGGTGCCTGGCCATTGGCTGTGGGTGTCTGGCCATTGGCTGCTGGTGCCTGGCTATTGGCTGCCGGCTTCCAGATTCTGTACAGCCGCGTTGTTCCTATCCCAAAACGCTTTCAAATAGAGTCGGCAGGCTCCACCCCACGCAGGGATGCGATCTCTTGGATTTGTTCCGGAGAGAGATCTTGTGCTTTCGGCATGGTATATACTAGTGTGTTTGGGGCAATACTGGGGTTGCGGAATACTAGGCTTGCACTTGCCAACACCTTGCTGGTTTCTTGCAGGTTCGTGGAAGGATAGGAACATCTCCTGCCTCTATCTGCGACACAAACTTGTTGTAGAGTTTGGTGGAAGTCGTGCGTCCATTTCGCGTTTGGACAAGGGTGCAGACATGGTTTCCCACACTGGATGTATTGTCCAAAATACAACCAGCATTGTCTGGGGGTGCCATTTCGCCTTGTTGGAAGAAATTGTGCTCGTTCTCCAAATGCTGCACCAAGGCTGGTCTGTCCAAGGTTCCCGAGAAGTCTTGCGTGTAGTCTATTTGGTATTGGCCCCAGCCGATCGCCTCTAGCAGGCGCCGCATGTGTGGAAGACCTTCCTGCAGCCTTTCCATGGGTACATTCGATACATCCACCTTGGCAACAAAATAGGCAGCGGGTTCCTCTCCAGGATGCAGACTCTTCCAGATTCGTCTGGCTCGGTAGCCTGTTTCGCATTCGATTTGCCCCACTGTCGACACGATAGTACCACTGGAGTTTGCATTGACTGTGTGGGCTATCGAAATGTTCTTGTACCCGTCTTCCTCGCCCCAGACTTCCCGAACAAAGATAGAGATCTGTGCTACCACTCTTTTGGCTGCACCCTCTTTGCCTGTAGTACAAGATGTTCTGCGGCCAGGTACCCGAACAAGGTCTTTCTCTTGCAGGGGGCCATAGACATAGACATCGTCAACAAAGACTTGCAGCCCGGCCAAGGGTTGGAGATTCATTCGCCCTTGGTGTCCCGCGAGATAGTTGACATTTGCGATGTCGGGGACCAAATTGCTTTCGTAGACGTTCTCCTGCAAGATGTGTATGGCGACTGCTTTCTTGCTTTGCAGACCCATCGATTCCAAAGTTGCTCGCTGCACATCCATCGTTTGCCGTGTATAAATATATAGTGCGAAATTTTGTTGTTTAAAAATGTAGGCTACTTTGGTAGCACTCTCGAGTTGGCCTTGCAGACTGCAATGGCTGGTAGGCGATGGTGCAATGGCAGGGGTGGCCACTGGCTGGCAATGGCTGGCAATGGGGTGGACACTGGCTGGCAATGGCGCAATGGCAGGGGTGGACACTGGCTGGCAATGGGGTGGGCACTGGCTGGCAATGGTGCAATGGCAGGGGTGGGTACTGGCTGGCACCGGGGTGGACACTGGCTGGCAATGGGTTGGCGATGGCGCAATGGCAAGGGTGGGCACTGGTTGGCAATGGCTGGCAATGGGGTGGGCACTGGCTGGCAATGGCTGGCAATGGTGCAATGGCAGGGGTGGGCACTGGCTGGCACTGGTTGGCAATGGGGTGGACACTGGCTGGCAGTGGTGTGGACACTGGCTGGCAATGGGGTGGGCACTGGCTGGCAATGGGTTGGCAATGGCAGGGGTGGACACTGGCTGGCAATGGGGTGGGCAATGGCTGGCAATGGGTTGGCGATGGCACAATGGCAAGGGTGGGCACTGGTTGGCAATGGTTTGTAGGTACTGCCGATTGTGCGCAAAGGAGCAAAAAAAGAAAGCCACCCCTTGGCATATAACCAAAAGGTAGCTGAAAAGTTGGTAGCCATGTCGAAAACGGTCGCTCTAATGATGAATTGGGGTAACGCATGCGCCCTTGCCATGTGAGGGGGGTATACATATGGTTTTATATTTTCTACAATTGGGACCACCCGCCCCGGCACGCCCCCGGCTCCGGGCTTGGAGTAGTAGTATATAAACCGACCGCACGCGATCACATCCCCCGGGGAATCCGGGCCGACCGGGAGGGAGGCCCGGGTTGTCCGGGGGATGTGGTCGCGTGCGGTCGGTTTATATACTACTAGCCTGGTTAAGTGAACAATTTAGCTTGCAAATACATTCAGTCCCCAAACTCTCCAGGATAAACTTGTCCTGTTGTCCCCATGTTAAGAAAATGCAACTACAACAACAGCAACACAACTTTATTGAATATTATGTCATTAGCGGCTTGTGGTCTCTTTATAAATAATTATAAATATCAGGTAATGACTAAAAAAACATCGCTTTATAGAAATAAGTTGAACACATTTTAATTCAGCAGTGAAAGTAAACCTTAAAAACTTTACTCGCAATTGAGAGTCTATCCATGATGTGGCTTACAATTTCAAGAGCAAAAAAAGCCTTAGCAGCTCTAACATTTGAACACTTCTAATACATTCTCCACATCTATTTCTTCTTGCCACAATGCATCTTAAAAAATGAACTATTATGACAGAGCCCAAAAATGGTGTCTGTTGGGGGGGGGGGTCATTGGTATAATAATGACCAGTCCCTCCGCGACATAAAACCAGTATTGACCACGTAAAAGTAAAATAGATCGCCGAAAAGATTACCGGTAATTATTATTTTATATCAAACGCAGTTGGTTAACGTTTTGATTAGAACTGGATATTTTTTAAGCCAGATTTCAAGAAAAAGCCGTCTTTTGGTATTTTTTTTTCCTTCTTTCTTTCTTTTTTTTTTTTTTTTTTTGGGGGTGGGGTTAAAGAACTTTTTATTAGCATTGCAAGGAGCATCCGACAATTTTAAATGAGAGCCGCACCAACTTGTTATTCAGAGTGTTGTGGACTAAAAAAACAATTTTGTTAACGATGGAGGTAACAATTGGCTGGCTACATTTGCTGCGCCTGTTATAGCATCTGTAGCAGAACCTGCAACAGCGCCTGTAACAGCACCAGTGGCTTCCAGTAAATTGCTTACCTCTATCGGCCGGGCAATTGGTAACAATTCACTGGCTACGTTTGCAGCGCCTGTAACAGCACCAGTAACAGAACCTGAAACAGCGCCCGTAAAAGCACTTAGAGGACCTGTAGCAGAACCTGTAACAGCACCTGGAACAGAACCTGCAACAGCGCCTGTAACGGCACGTAGAGGACCTGTAGCAGTGGCTTCCAGTAAATTGCCTACAAAGTTCAAATTTGTTAATGTTCCTCCTTGGATGACACCTGCAATGCCCCCTGTAGTAGCCGCCAGTAAACTACTGACAAAATTTGACGTGGTGCAAGTTGCTTTGATGGTTCTGCTGTGCTTTTCCAAACACCGATCAACGTAGTTCTGATCTGTTCCTTCGCTGGAAATGACGTCAAAGTCGGCGTTCACGTCTAGTAGGGCTGCACTGAAGGCTTGGCAGACTGAATTCATGTCTTGTGCTTCCCGTTTCATAACCTTGTAGTGAAGACGCTTTCGAGTATCAATTGCTTTTCCCGCTTTACCTTCAAACTTGCTAATTTCCTGCTCCACGATGGAAAAAAAGCCCGCTGTCCTGGTGATTCCTTCAATGAAGCTCTCAAGGGCAGGGATCAGAGTTTCTCTGATAGCAATTGCAGCAGCTTCTTGCACTTCGGCCTCGTCACCTTGAGCATGTGCCTCCGCTAAATCAGCTTTCGCGTTTTCTTTTAAGACATGGCTTGCTATCATTCCAACACCTGGAACGAAAGAAAGTCCGAACGCCCAGTTAGTTTTCGTTTGTGCCTTGTCTTCGTATTCCTTCTTCTTTTCTTCGAATTTTTCCTGTAGGCCTTCGCACTCTGTTACAACGAGCTCCGCCTGGTCTTGCCTCTTTTTTAAGGGAACCAAAATATCTTCATGCAACTTCAGGATCATTTCGCAGAGCTTCTTGTTGCCAACAGTCTTCTCACGAATGCTAGAAAGCAACTCACACCATTTTTGGAAATCCAGTGTCTCGTAGTACTTGAAGTAATCACTCATGGATTTAGCAAACGTACGTGACAGTGGAAGGATACCTTTGAGGTAAACCATGGCGTCATTCCTGGTATCATCTCGGAGCTTTTTGAACTTTTGGCCTGTTTCTGCCTTCATTCTAACGAAATTCTCTGTATAAAGTGACCTCATGGAGAGAGAAAACAGTCGCAAATTCTTTGACATGTCCTTCAGATCCTTACGAAGGGTCACAACTGCATCCATTGTTGATGATTTCTGTATTTCGCCTTTCTGCGAGCTGAAAATGTAAAAAGTGATTAAACTGAGCCAAGTTTTTTTAGGTAGAAAATTCACTCAATAAAGGCACGTTCAGACGCCCCTCACCCCCCCCCCCAAGAAAGTAGACCTGAGCTAATCAGTGTTTTCATTTAACTTCACGACCTTAGAGTGAAGGGTGATAAAGAAAATATTACTTTCCTAGTTTTTAACATGTAGGAATGCTCTTTTTTATTTTTTTTTCAAAGGAAACCTCAAAATTAAAATAACTACTACATTAAATCAAAAGGCTTTCGTAAAATGCCCCCCCCTCCCCTCGGGGACAGTTGCCATGCTCGTGAACAGAAGAAAACAAATAGAAGCTAACGTTAAATCTTTTGTTTTGTACCTTCAGCGTGACGTCAGGGGAAAACGTTCTATTCAGATTCTATTGATCAGACGGCTCAAGGGCGCTTGGCTTCTCTTGTTTACGAAACGAAATGTTAGGAGAATCACAAGAAGAGGCCTGTACCATAAAAATGCAAGATGCAAAGCTACTAGAAAATACATGAAAATTTTGAGTATCCTATTCTTTAGCCTGAGAAAACATACGTCGTTTCACGGCCTCCCCCAGCGAAACGGAGCGGGGGGAGGCCGCTATACGACGTCTGTTTTCTCAGGCTACCTATTCTTAGTCAGTACACATTTCGTTCGCCATGATATCACATGGAAAAAATGGAACGTAAACAAGACGGCTTGTGAAGTGCGTTCTGGGAATGAGTTTTCAGCACACCCATCAGCGAGCTGGCCAGTTTTGGCATCGACTATGATTTGCGTGTTGTTCTGTTTTTAAAATGGATGAACGGAAATGGATTGCAACTTGAAAAAAATGGCCACTTTTTTGCGCTAATGTTGTTTACCAAAATGCAGCAAAATTTGCGTGACAATGCCGCTTAAACTAAAACCAATTGTGTAAGAGTTGACCGATGTACTCCATCCGGTATTTTGCGAGTAAAAAAACTCAACCCCCTGGACTCAACCCGAACACCTTGAGCCACCCATAAAACTGTGACTTATTGTGCTGTGGTTTTTCAAAGATAATGTAGGTATAGATTACCTCTGCACTCGAGTTGCAGTGGTCTTACGCGCGTCAAAATTGAGATCACAAGGCCTTTGATTTACATAAAACATCGTAAAGTCATAAGGGTCTCGTACGGATTAATTGGTATTTTAGAAGACTTCTTATTTGAGATATGTCTTCATTTTTCCCACACTTAGGACCTCGTGACTCTTTTTAAGAACAATCGTTCAAGAAAAGTTGACATCAAGCTACAGTGATAAACAACGTTTGTTTGGCGAAGACTACTTTCCGCAACCGATAACGTAACAGGACTTCGTAAATGCGGCCCTGGTTGCCACTTTCCAGTTAAATTTCTGTTTTTCAGACGGGAATGGAGCGCTATGCTACTTAGCTAGATGCTTGAATTTATGTTGCGGTGTACGGCCTGAAGTCCGCAGACGTTGCCAAAAATGATTTTAGCAAACTAAGCCATATGTTGAAATAACTTCAAGGCTTTTTAATTCAATGATTTTATTTGATTAAGTACCACCTACTTACAACATCTACTTAATTAACTTTGAACCAAAAAGTTAAGACTTAAGACTATAAAATGTCACTGCTTAAACAAAAATCTTGCACTATTAATAAAACCGTTTATCATTGAACCTCACTAGTACTTTTGCTTAATAATGAACACTTCCGATCGTCAGGAAATCAGGAAATCAAGGGATTGATCTAATTTATAATTTTAGACAGTATTGTGCCACAAGACAGTTGACTAGTGAAACTGTTTTTCTGATTTCTTTTTAAAATTAGTTTTAATTTGCGCGACATCAGTAGAGGCGACCGGTGCAGAAATAGCTGCCAGCATCTTTTGGGCAAGTGCGGCAACACGGCACTTCTGTTGGATTACTTTCTTCTGCTTTTCCAGCCATTGGTCCACGTAGTTCTGGTCTGTTCCTTCGATGGGAATGGCTTCAAAGTCGGTCCTCACTGCTGGCAAAACGGCATAGAACATTTGGCAGATGGACTTCATGTCTTTTGCTTCCTTGTTCATAATCTTGTAGTAGAGCCTCTTCGGCGATTTGGCGCCTTTTTCCGCTTGGCCTTCAAACTTGCGAATTTCTTGCTCCATGATGGAAAAAAAGCCCGCTGCTTTTGTGATGCCATCAATAAAGCGCTCCAAGGCAGGGATCAGGGTATCTCTGACAGCGATTGCAGCAGCTCCTTGGATTTCGGCTTGTTTTCCAACAGCAACTGCCTCCGCCACATCTATTGCTGCTTTTCCTTTTAACACATGGCTAGCTATGATTCCAACAACTGGAACAAAAGAGAGCCCGAACGCCCAACTTTCTTTGGATTGAGCACTTTCGTCAAACTTCTTTCTTCTTTCTTCATATTCTTCTTGGAGGCCTTGAAACTCTGCGATGACGAGCTTTGCTTCGTCTTGTCTCTTCTTAAGTGGTACCAAGATGTCTTCATGCATCTGTAGGAGAGTTTCACAAAGCTGTCTGTAGCCGATGGTCTCTTCAAGGATGTCAGAAAGCATGTTACACCATTCTTCAAACTCCAAAGCGTCAAAATACTCAAAATATTCGCTTATGGACGACACAAACTTGGTAGAAAGTGGGAGGATACCTTTCAAGTACACCATGGCGTCGTTCCTTGTGTCATCCCGGAGCTCTCTAAACTTCACAGCAGCTTCTGCTTTTGAGCCGACAGCTTTTTCTACATAAAGCGACCTCATTGAAAGGGAAAACATTCGCATGCTCATCGACATGTCGGTTATCTGGCCTCGAAGGTCCACAACGGCTTTCTCTGTCTCTTTCTCGATATCCCCCATTTTCTCTTGAAACTGTGCACAGGAAATAATCAAAGGCCCATATGAGCAAACTCGAAAATTTGGAGGGTTCTAAATAAAATATTTTTCACTGAAAAATTTCATAGCTTTACAATTACAAAGGAAGAAAAGTGGTATGCCACTGCGCGATTTTTTGGGCGATATGCTGTACTTAGTCTTTATTTTCAGGCATTTCTAGTAGTGAGTGGTGCAACATTGGAAATTTCTTGGGAGCTGGGAGCGTGTGGAGGCTAATGTTTGCCCTGATTATACCCGTGGTCCCCATTAAGCGAAATTATTTAGTGGTCTATACATTGCTTTGATAGAGAAATTAGACGGTAAGTGTTGCAGGCGCGCGGTATTGATCAAGAAGAGCATTTCAGGTTTTGCTATCCGTTTTAGCAAGATCTTTCAATCACATCGTCAAAAGAATTAAGATATCAAAAGACCTTTATCTCACATTATTCTTGCTACTGTTAAAAACTAAGGCAACAGTCTGCGGATACTTCACAAAGAAACTAAAAGTCTTCATCAAATTGCTCATTGCCTAGCGTATTCTCTTTAAACACAAAAAACCATCCCAATTTAAGCTAACAAAAGAATGGCCATTAATATCAACAACGCTGATAAGGAGACTGAACAACTTTTTGCAAATACCAACGCTAAATCTGACTTGAGATTCTTTTTAAACTTTTCTTGTGAGCGTTTAAAAATCAATACGACTCGAATGAGCACACGATGCAAAAAAATGATTGTTAAAAACGAGCTCCAAAAACACGAAAACACTGCATGCAGTGAAACTACTGACAACTGCATAAGAAAATATTACTTAAAAACGCAGATTTCAGTGGAGAATAAAATTCTTACCTTCTCTCGACAGATCTATGAAGTTCTGAATTCTGAGGGATGTGCTGAAAAGCTTCTCGTTTTGACAGTCTAGCTTGAGTCCTGGACTGGCTGATCTAAATGTTACTCCTCTCGGACCTCCTTATTTATTGACCTGATATACAATGCGTTTCTTGGAACTTACCGCAAAACATACATTAATCACACACTTGGAGATTGCGAACAATGTTATCTGATAATGATGACGCAGCCTTAACAGGAAAAAAAACATGTTTGTAATACTGAAATATGTAAAGCGTCGGCGTGGCAAAATAATTTGCCCACAGAGATGGCCCTTTAGACACACCTTAATGCCAGCGTGCCGCGTAATTAAAACTTCCCGTGTACTCTGGACTATCTTCGGTTGAACGATGATTAAAACGTCCTGTTTACTAACTTGCACAATGTTATACTTGGACCTTTGTCTTTCCTCGGCCAAATTGCTTAATAGTTTGGCCACACCTTCGACTGTTAAACGGCTCAAAAGAACTTTCCTATATCCAAAAGTAAACCCCAATTAATCGTGATAAGCGTGGTCGGGGCTTATACAAACAAAGAGCGTCATCTTTTCTCATCTGACCTCACTGTGAAAGGTTTAATGGGCTATGCACCAACTAGGATCGAAATCTACAAGATAGGCGTGGTCTTGAGAGATTTGATGAATGATCATGGTACTTGCTTGACGAGCTGCTTTAGTGTTTTTGACCATTTTTGGTAAGAAAAACGACCACATTAATTACGTTTGTGAGTGCATTGTTTCTAAAGCAATACGCAAAAACCTAAGGGGTGGGGGGGTGGTCAGTGAAAATGTTAGAGTCTAAAATAAGCACTGGATCCTTGTAAAGCAAGTCTTTGTTGATTAGTTTTGTTACCAGCAGTTAGCTTGTTACTTAGTATAGTTTGGTTAATGTTTTTTGTTAATGTTTTTACCTGTTTTCTGTATATGTGATATACCTAAAATCACGAAAACCCGTGTATGAGTAAATTGTACCACATACTTAACTGAATATGAAAAGTTACTTAAAATGTGCAGTGTGAGTCACACTCGTAGAACTCAAAACGACCAACTTCATCAGCTAATGACTGTTTCCCATCAAGACATGATGTACGACACTGATTTCTTAAAAACAGCAACAGCAATAGATTTGGAATAGATGCACGAGGAGCTGTTATAATGTGCTATATAAACAAAAGAAATACGAATGATCCGTACAAGTGAAATGTATAGAGGTTATTTCATCTTCTCGTAAATTAAAGTTTTTGAAAGCGTTTTTCTAGCGCCGGTCAAAAGGGTGTAATAACGTGTCCGTATTTGCACTCGTTTAGTTTTATGCGTATTTGCACTCTAGAATGCTTTGTCGACTATTAAACCCGAATAAATTACTCATGCAGTGCTCTGAGAAAGCAGTACACTACAAAACGGCAAATGTAAATATAAGTTGAAATCAATTGATAGTAACCTGACAAGGATTCCCGGGTTTGTGTTCCTTGCCATTTCGTCAACGTTCGTTTTGGAGCCTTGTGCACGAGGAGAGGCAAACATGAACTCAACCTAACTTTACACCAGTGTTTTTGATATTCAGGAACACTCTCCATCTCTACGTAAGCCGTCTCACATGAGGAGGAAGAAAGCGTTTACTGTATGAAGTTTGAAAATCTTGCCGACTTCTTGTCAGTCATCTTAAGTCATCTGCCATAATGAAATAACCAGGTAGAGAGACAGTCTTACCATGTATGTCTAAATTCGATAATGAGACAAAGAATTATTGGCACATCAGCTTTACAGAGTTTATAAGTTTAATCGGCGCGTGGGCATTTGGCTCTGATGGCCAGAGTCCATTACATTTAATTCCTATTTTCGGCGCGTCAGTAAATTTATGAATGTCATTACTGCGATAATTGCGTTACAAGAAAGTTCCATCTCTGTACATTTTTTCAACATTCTGTCCCAACTTTTTGATAAGCATTATCAACTTTGTGGTTGTTTGGTGATGTATATCCACATTCTACTGAGAACAAAAAATAAAATAGAATTTTACATGTGGAAAACACGAACAGTTTGCTTAGGCGAGCATTCCGTGAGTCGTCGATCCGTGATTGAGAGAAAGACTGAATTTTCAACGAAGGGTGCTTACAGTTTGTCTGTCTATGGTATTTGCGAGGCATGGCTCCACTGTGTGGGAAAGATTTGCTCATGTCAAAACACTGATATAAATGCAAAAGCAGTAGGAAGTGCTGAATTTAGAGCGAAAAAAAAAAGCCAGCCAAGTTTAAAATATCAATCGCAAAGTGACCATGCTGTTTAATTTACACAACGCTGACTAGTTTCGTTGGTTATTAATTTCCCTATTAACTTTGGCTTCCCCGTTGCTATATTATGCGGTATTTCGACTTAATTCCTGTTTTCCAAAGCAATTAAAGGTGTACTTTAGCACTTGCGTATACTCTTATCTGCCTTCAAGGACTATGCCAAATTGCATTTGTTACTAACTGGGTTGAAGTACCCGCGGTTCGCTGTCGAATTCTAACGGAATTCTAACGAATTCTTCCTGGTTTTTTTGTATTTATTCAACAACTGATACCTTAAATAAAAGTAGTTGTTTATAAACTTGAACTTTTAGAAAGCATCTTCACCACACGTCCATGCTCTGTTCCCTGTAGCTGGCTGTGTCTTAATCTAATGGAGTATTAATGTATTTGTGCCGTATAGGAAAAGGATCCTTCATTGCTGCCATTCGAAGCTGATATAATTAGTTCCTTCAGTTTCCCTTGTTCTAAATACTTTCCATGAGGACGTTGTAAGCTACACTTTTGTTTTTTGGTGAAGAATAGATTGTAGCGGATAAAATTGTTTAGTTTCTTCTAACAGCTGGCCCCGGCGTTTTTTTCCCTTGGCACTCCCGCACCGCAGAAGCGGCTGTTACGAAGACTCGCGTAGCGTTCTCGAAAATTTCCTGTCCCCCGACAATGTTTTCTCTCTCATGGCGTTTTTTAACCCAAATAATGGCAGAAGAAACAGTGACCAATTTCTGAAACACCAGATAAGGTGAGCACAAACAAGAGTGTGGTCAGTTTATTTCTTTTAACCTCAATTGATTCACCGGGTTCCTGTATCGCTATTGCCGGAATGAGAAGTATGTGCCCTTCTGTTAAGAATAACGGACTAACATGAAAATGCAGTGATGCCCACGCAAATCCCTGCCTAAGGGAAAAAAAAAACAAACCGAAGTGGTTTGTCTTGATAAAAGCGGCCCGTTATTTGAAGCAAAACCGCACTTGCTTGTTTTTAAGTTTTTAAAAGTGCGGTTTTGCTTAACCAATTAAAATTAGTTAAAATAACTGTCCTCTGTGCTGCCAATCATTTAGATGACTATGTTCGTCTTATCTGCGATGTAATGGCCTTCTAATGAATGGGTTACAACTTTGACCCTTTTAAAAAATAGCACTTATATAGTCATTTGCGCGTGATTTGACATGATTGTGGCTTTGAATCTTAGATACCAAACAATATCACACAATAAACCCTAAACTGAATGATTTGTCAGCGCATTCCAACTTTGTTTCAGTTTAATTTTATCCGTTTTGTTATGATAATTAATATCCAAGAGCTAGCAAAACGAAGTTAAAATTCCTGTTTATCTCCAGTAAACTCAAAAACTATCTCTGTGTGGATCGAAATGAGGCAATAGGGATATCGGAGAACATTTATATTATGGAGAATATTTCCAAGGTGTAAGGTGCGAGCAAGGCGATATAAACATCGCGTTCCGAGATTCACTATTCGTACTCCTTTCCTTTTTTTCCACTGATCATTACACCCATTGCAAGCGGGCGGTAATTTTCTGTCAGTATTGATATTTTCAATTGTTTTGAGTGGGTGGGAGCTACAGGGGGAAAATGAAAAATAACAAGAAATCATAAAGATATGAATAAGTGGGTTTTCTTTCCACTTGTATTTGATAGGCCACGTTAACCAGACCCACGTTTATTTTTTATGGCAGTAGAGACATGATAAGACTATCTTTTTTCTAGAAGGAAATGGGATGTAAAAAGCA